GGCATCAGCCTGATGGTCTTACACTACTTGCAAGGTAAGCATCATCAGCCTGATGGTATGCAGAGCAACTCACAGCCTGATGATGTGCAGAGGAACTCGCATGTTGACTTACGTTGTACTGATGAGTTCTTGGTGGTGACCGGGGTGAACGCGTCTTTTCCGTCTTGTGTGCTCTGTGTGTGTGTGTCCCTGCTGCCGCAGTCCAACAGCCGTGGGTCGTGCCGTCCCTGCATAAGACCATGAAGGTAAGGTTGTGTGCTTGCGTATCGTGAGGTGTGTGCACCAGCACGTGCAGCAACTGGGTGCGTTCGATTATGCCCACGAATCCATTCATGAATCCATTCTTGAATCGCCCCTGGCTATTCACACCACCCCATGTGAATACGGTGAATGGATTCCGAATCGATTCCAGGGTTCATGACATGAAATCGAAAGGCGAGATTCCATTCATGAATCGATTCGCGGGCGTAATCGAACGCACTCACTGTGAATCATAATGGCAGATACGTGTATTGGAATGTGTATTAGGTTATTGCTGTGAAACCTGTCTAAGGCGACCACTCAAGGCACCTTCCGAATGTGGTCCCCGCGAGCAGGTGGTCTCCTTATCCAGGGTCAATTGGCTGGAAATAACACCCTTGGGTCCTACAAGTAGTTGTGTTCGTCCTCGGGGACAGGTGGTCGCCTTGACAGGAATCACCGGTACTTTACGGTAGTAATAATAATGTGTGTTTCAATGCATTGAAGTGTTGTGATGTGTTGTTGCCTGTCTTGTGTGTGTGTGTGTGTTCAGCAACACCTCTACCTAGATATCATGGAGATGCAGAACAGACGTGAACACGATCTGCCAGAAACGCCAACGTAAGGCCTACAGTACTGCGGGTCGCCAAAGAACTGCGGGGGGGGGGGGGGGGGCAGCATTGTGGCAGTGTTATGTTCATTGCTGAGCGCAGGCGTTTGTTTACATGAACGATTGAGCAACTGGCTATGATAATGGAGTTACTCTAAAAGCCATTATTCTAGCGAGCCTTAAATGTAACTTCCTAAAATTGACCGGTTTACGTGTACCGAAGGTAACGATTCTCACTCTTTCTCAACGCTCACTAGCAACAGTATAAGTATCAATTTCTGTGGAACGTTTTCTATTTTAATGACAGATTTCTCCTCGTTAATTCGTTAGATTTAGCACTTCGTTATGTCATTATGTCGTTATGTCGTTATATCAGGCTTTTACAGTAGTTAAGCTCATGCCTGTGGCCTCTCTTTCTCCTCCTTCTCTCTTTCTCGCCCTCCCTCCCTCTCTCTTTCTCTCTCTCTCTCTCTCTCTCTCTCTCTCTCTCTCTCTCTCATGTAGGTCCAACAATACAACAAGTCTTGGTGAGCTACTGTGTGGTTTCTTCCGCTACTACGCTGCCTTCCAGTAAGTCGCTGTGACTATGCACACACGCACACGCACACACACACACACACACACACACACACACACACACACACACACACACACACACATGTTCTGTTATGTTCTGCTCTGTGCATGGCACCGAGGACACAGTGCAACTACAGTGAAACCTGTCCAAGGCGATCTCCCAAAGGGCATTCCCAATGTGGTTGCTGCATACAGGTGGTCTCCTTATCCAGGGTCATTTGACTGGAAATAACACCCCTTGGTCCTGGTTGTAGTGGTCCTCTGGAACAGGTGGTCGCCCTATCCGAGTGGTCGCCCTATGCGAGTGGTCTCATTGCCAGGTTTTACTGTACTGTATTGCAGATGGCATGGTCTTTCTTTTGTCATCATGGGCTGTCAGAATTGGCTATGGGTGAGATAAAGCCGTGCGGCACAGACCAAGGTATTTCCTGGACAGTTGCTGACTTCCTTACAGGCTGATCTGACTTGGTTCCAGGAATACATGTACATGTACTCCAACCCAAGAAGGGTCCAGGGCAGGGGTGGTTTTTTTAAACGTGCATCCATAATAATTGTGTCCGAAACTATTGTCCAGGGACGTGCTGAATGTATGGTAGGAAGAACACTGGTAAACCTCTTTGTTTGACGTAGAGCCGACTGTCTTATTTGCTGCCGTCTTGCTGTTTGGATGTTTGTTCCCTTCTCCTCTGTTTGCATTCACCGCTCGCTCTGGCCTGGTTAGATTTGAGGACTACATAATCCAGGTGGCTGAGGCCAGAGCCCTGCATTCACAGGAAACTATAAACCCAGCTTTCAGCTCGGGCTCGCTGAAGAAGTCGTTTGTCAAGATCGAAGGTGAGCTTTGGTGATGTCTGTGCGTGCATGCGTGTGTGTGTGTGTATGTGCGTGCGTGTGTGTGTGGATGGGTGTGCGTGCGTGTGTGTGGATGTCATTGTTTTGTTTTGAGTCTTTGCAATGTGCGTGCATTGATTTAATGATGGTACTGATACTGCTCTTGTCACTGTCGTTGTTATTGTCATTGTTATTGTCATTTCCGTCGCTGTTGCTTGTGCAGAGCCGTTCTCGAAGAGTAACGTTTCCCACTCCATTCTGAAGCGAGGCCACTTCATGCGCCTGCGGACGGAGTTTGTCGTGGTACGTACTGCCCGGCACCGGTATCTCATGATTTCCGTGTCATCTCCACTAAAGAATAGAATCTGCACTCCACTCAAGAATAGAATCTGCATGCACATCAGCCAATCTCTGTGCGCTGCTTGCACAGGGCAAGAAATGCATGTAGCGTGTTGCTTCAAGGACCCGTTTATTCTTCCCGCATGGATGGAAGTCCGTGAGAGACGGCATACCCCAAAGTACTTTACTTAATTGCACAGCCAGTTTCACAACTAGTCTCCTCGGGTGTGTTGGCAGATAGCCACTATTGGCACCTTCAGCAATTTTAGCAGCGATCGTATTTCCCCGAATGCAAGTCGCACCTTTTTACACCTAACTTCAGGCCCAACAAAGGGGGTGCGACTTACAATCGAGCATGACTTACTACTGAAGTGAATAAAACAATAGGAGGACAGAGGAAGTGTTTTTACTCAGAGTTTCACGCACTAAGCGATCATCAGAAAACAGTAATTGGAAATCTGGATCAGTATTGGTTTATATCCCCACAAAGCAAAGTGTAAATAGCTGCAGTGCAAAGCGTGAATGACAGCAGTGGTGAAAGGTGACAACCACTGGAGCTGGTTGTCTCTTACTTAATTAGGTGATGGCTGTAGCTGGTTTAAAGTTCCGAAGGTAGTACCTATTCTCATGGCGACACTTCGACACAAGCTCACTCCTTTTGTTGAGAGAGAGGTGCTTGGGTGCTTGCGCGATTGCCAATTTCTCTGCCAGGCACAGGTTGCACCTTTTGCTTTTGTTGCTGTAGGCCGCTGCTCTGCGGTGTACCGCCCATTGAATGCTGCATGCCTTCCCTTCATCCTTCTTGGTCCAGACGTACTGCGATAGGCGGGTGTCCTTCTCGTGTTGTCTGTGGCGGAATGAGGATTGGTGGTTATAGTAGCGTTGTTTGAATGTTGTTGCTGTTAATCCAGTATATTCCTTCTTCTCCATACCTGCGGTGACTCTTGCCTTATATACGATACTCTCCGTTAGACACGCTCCGTTCAGTGGACACGAGTCTTTCGCCCGACAGTTACAAGTCCTGGTATCGTTGTCACCTCCGTTAGCTTGTTTCTTGGGTCGTAGAATCGTGTTATTGTGCTGCTTGATGATAGTGGCCATATTCTGCATGCAACTGTAGCTAACCTTTACAGAGTTCCGGTTGAAGATTTTGTTGAGGCTTGAGCCTTTGGGGAAGTGTTTGGCCACTAGCTGGAGGAAGCGATGTCCAACGTTGGTGGCGACGTTCTTGCTAAATGGTGGGTTGAACCATATGATGTTCCGAGGGCGATTCCTTTTCTTCTTCTTCTTTGTCTCGTCCGTTTTACGCTCGTCAAAATACTGTACGTTCTCCCGGTATCCACTCTTCCTCAGCGCGTCACTGTAGATCGGAGTCGCATCTATGAAGACGTCTTCATCATTGGAAATATCTGTTAGTCTTCTGCTGATCGATGCAGGTAGGTTCTGGATGATTGTAGGTGGATGGTTTGACTGGCAGTTGATGTACATCGGCTTGTCGTTCGGTTTCCGGTAGGGGCAGTACTTTCCGGTGGTCAGGTCCAATGTCACGTCCAGAAAGTCGACTCTCTTCAGGTTTGTCTGTATCGTTATCTTCAGTCCGAGGTTCTGGAATATTTTTTCTTTAAACCAGCTACAGCCATCACCTAATTAAGTAAGAGACAACCAGCTCCAGTGGTTGTCACCTTTCACCACTGCTGTCATTCACGCTTTGCACTGCAGCTATTTACACTTTGCTTTGTGGGGATATAAACCAATACTGATCCAGATTTCCAATTACTGTTTTCTGATGATCGCTTAGTGCGTGAAGCTCTGAGTAAAAACACTTCCTCTGTCCTCCTATTGTTTGAACCAGCTCTACCACTCGGTATTGAGCACTCTCTTGGACAGCCTGGAACCTCTCTGTTTTACTGAAGTGAATATATTGAAATGATATGGCATGGACCTGGAGATGGGTTTGTGACCTACAAGCGAGTGCGACTTACAAACGGGAAAATACGGCACATTCCAGGCTGCTCTTGCCTGTGGTCGTCCTCAGCTAGCTTGGTTGAGCAATATCTGTAACTGGACTGATCAAAATTTGTCTTCATTGTTAAAAGTACGGGATGATGGTGATGATGATGATGATGATGATGATGATGATGATGATGATGATAGAATCCAAGAAAGCATAATTCCATGATTTCGTGAGCATAATCCGCCAGAGACCAGTCTAGACTAGACCTCTTTTACGGGCAAACAGAACACAATATGACAGTGGCATGGCGAATGATTAGAACACAACACCAAAAAATGAAAACAATTGTATGTGTGAAAAAACGCAAAAACGAGAAACAAAAAAACAAAAAACAAAAAAAACACCAAAAACAAAAACAAACAAACAAAAACAAAAAAACAAACAAAAAACAAAAACCAGGAAAATACAAGGGCACTGTCCTGCCCACCATCGTCTCCAAAACCTCACAGCCGGCCCTCCGAGATTGCCAACTCTCGCAATGCATTCACAGGACGGTGATATGACGATCGAGCACCGCGGATGCACATGATCGCCGACCGCAACAATGCAAACGCCAGTCGACACCGGACATATGTCATTGTCTGGGCATACAACTTCGTGTCCCCACTCGAAATGAGGCCACACAGGCGCTTAACAAATCTGGAGCACTCTGATGATGATGATGATGATGATGATTTTTTTTTTTTTTTTTGATGATGATGAAGCCACTTCTTTGGGCAAACAAAACACAATTTCCCAAGATGAAGGAGTGGAACCCTACACAAATAATAGTTTAAATGAATCCAACGCAAAGATCGTTTTTCCATGAAATACAACAATTGAACACAATTACATGCTTAAAGGCATGAAAGCAACAAAACAGCAACAAAAGGGTAAGCGCCATACCAATCCCGCATGCACAGTCAGGACACAGCACGATACTTAACAAACTAGACCTGACTCGGCCACGGCAATCGAGACATCATGAAAACATCTCGCCGGATGGTGGTACCGTGACCGAGCCCCACGTATGCACAACACAGCAGCACGCAGCAAAGCAAAAGACAGCCGACAGCGGAGTAAACCAATGACCTGGGAATAGTGAGATCCCGATGACTCGGCCTGCATCTGGCACAGTCTCTTGAGGAACACATTGCACAGCCTCCCACAACCACCATGCACAGAGAACACGAGAGGTGTGAAAGCGGCTCTTTCTACATTTGTGACTCTTGGCCCATATTCGTTCCACTTACGCCGCTCGTGCTGCTGGTACAATGCAGGGAGGGTTCTGGACCCGTAGGAAGGAGCATCTGGGCAAAATACCCTTACATCAAAAAAAGCTTCCTCCCCACGGGTCCAAAACCCTCGAGCGGCTATGTCCAGGCGCGCATCCTCTCGGCGGTTCGTTGACCGAAGAGGAAACCTCTCACCAGAAAGAGGTTGCAGCGCTGGTTCTGTCGAAACGGCAGTGCAGACTTCAGTCAATTCCCTCGCCAGCAGGTCACGTATCTCGTTATGACGAAGTGTCGGGAAGCCGCCCCTGGCGCAACATAGCTGATGCTCAACTGAGAACAGCTCACCACACACACAGGTTGCTGGTGTATTGGCTAGCGGCCATGCATATCTCAATGCCAGAGCATCCCGGAAGTCACGCTTGGTGAGACGAAAGCCATGCTCCGCCAGGGGCAGCACGCTCAGCCATGAGGATGATCCTTTCTCCGTGTGTTCTTCTATTCGTCGCTTCGTCATCTCATCGCTCGTGTCCACTATTTTGTTCCTGGCTGCCTTTGCGCGCTCCCGGTTTTCGGTGTGGACGACACGCTTTTTGTGACGCATTTCATCGATCATCCTCTGAAAGGGGGTACCAGCACCAGCAACATCAGCAGCCACATCCGGTCCAGGGTTTGAGTTGCCAGCGACCTCCCGCGGCTGCACCTCCGTTGCCGTCATCGCGGGAGTGGGAGACGCTCCACCACGGTCAGCAGTATCTGCAGAAGCCGGCACATCTCCAGCGAGAGAAATTGGATCGCTATCCTTAGCGAAATCGCCCAGAACCTCCTTCACCATAGGTCCGGACACTTGCTTGGAGCCCTGGTGCTCAAACCGTGGTCGAGTCGTGAGGTCCGGAAGGGCCATCCCACCATCCCGTGTCGGGAGCTTTAGAATATCAATGTCTTTCAGAGGCACGCTCGGTTGTCCCACGAGCTCCGGTAGAAGTGAGGAGTGAAGCTCCCGCTCCAACGGCGCCAAGTCCTCCGCAGAAACAGCCATAGTTCGAAACACATAGTTCCATCTGTTGACTAAGCCATGGGTCAACGCAGAGTATGCTGCATGCGGCTCTGATGCGGCATAATTTGCTAAAATCTCTGTATGTTTCGCCCACTCTTCTACTTTTGCCTCTTTGAATTCTCCGAGGAATGCCTCAGTCCCGATAGCAGCGCCCAGATACTGTACGCCACGAGACTTGACGTGGATAGTTGTGTCACCAAAAGTCTCGGCAGCCAAGGACTCAAAGCCAGGCTTGACGAGTAGTTGCGTTTTTGTTTCGTTGATGTTGTAGCCGTATTTTTGGCCCTCTTCCTTAAGGAGGTTGTACCACTTTCGCAATGGGGAGAGCCCTCCGGCAGCTGCCGAGTCGTCTGCAAACCATCCCTGGCACACATCTGCAACATTGGTTCCGACTGACTTGACGAGAGGGGTGAGAGCCGTGGCATAAATGGCCATCGCAAGAGGGTCACCCTGGGTTGTGCCCTCCTGTGACAATAAAGACTGGCCACCACGCACAAAGAGGGATGCAGGGTCTTGGTAAGTATTCAATGTTATTTGTGCTAGCGGGGGGCATACTCGAGCAATATTGTGCAATGCAGCGCGGCGATTCAAGCTATTGAAGGCATTGCGAGCATCGACTAGCAACACTGCCTCAGCCTTTTCCGAAGCAAAGGCCGCCGTCATTGAGTGCACCATAGCCTCCACCCCAGCCGGGATGCCCGTGCAGGCCTGAACTGGTCCGCAGGCTTGCATAATGTCGGGTTTCATCAGAAACAATGCCGCCTTGGAGCACAGTCTACGAAACACTTCACATACCCCTATTGGCCGAACGCCAGGGTTCTTGTTGAGGGCAATGAGTCTGCAAGCTGTGTACGGTGTGAGTGAGCCGGAGGGGACTGAGTCGGTACAGATCAAGCGTGTGAAGCACGCCACTGCCTCACGCAGATCAGTAGATGCACCTTTGTAACATGTGCATAGCCGCCGCCAAGCGTCCGCGTCCAGGCCGGAAGGACCCGCAGAACCATGCAGAGAAAGGGCAGTGCGTTTGATCAACTCACCATTGACGCTGGCGAAGTAGATACTGCTGACATTGCCCGCCTCCTCCTGAAGCAGGATGTCCGGTGCTGCCGGTGCCGACCCCGGATGCTTCCCGACGAGAATTTCACGGACTGACTGGGATTGATGAGAATCAGAAATGATGTCGTCCATGCCCAAGACCGGTTTATCACACTTGGGCTTGGTTGCATTATCCAGCATTCTCAGTGCGCAGTGAACTCGGCCCTGTTCCATCAAGTGGCCAAACTCATGAGCAGGGTCTTCGCCACGCCTGGATCTCCGATTCTGCGATGTCTTGAGCATATGCTGAATAGTTCGACCCTCCTGCACTAGCTCCATATATGAACCCTGGATCCATAAATTTAGTCTGCGACGAGTGTGGTCAGAGCACTCTGCGGCAGGGCAATTCCGACCTACTCGCTGGAGCACCAACGCTGGAAGCAGGAAGAAACGATATAGAGCAGTGGCATCCGCTCCTCGGGTCGAATTGAACTTTTGAAGTTCTGACGTGAGTGTCCGAACAAACTCTTTGCCAACACTGCCGGTCGGAGCCCGGAAGAGGTTCTTTTCCCAACTCGCCACCTCCTGATAGATGTCAGCCATGTCAAAAGGCATGGAGACCCGAGGGGTGGTGGGAACTGGAGAGGCAGCGTCCGGCTGGCTCGAGCCAAGCACCTGCGAAAATGGATCCACATCCGCATGACCAGAACCCGTAGCCTGCAAATCGATATTCCCCGTAGATGGGCATAGCTGGGGTTGGATGATGATGATGATGATGATGATGATGATGATGATGATGATGATGAAAAGCGTGGAAAAACGCCGCGCATGAGAATCCCACTGTAGCTTACAGTATCTTGTGTCCAGCCAAGTCATAATATTATGATTGATTGTAATTTATTCCCGCTACAGTAGAGTCGCGCGCCGAAGAACGTTGAGCCTGAAATGCTAAGAACGCCACAGCTTAAAGTTAAGAACGGCGGTGTTGGTTGTCCGGGAGCTTTTGGGATACATAATACGATCCTGTACGAATTGTTTCTAAGAACGTGCTATACCGTAATTCCACGCATATAAGCCCATGGGCTTATATGTGAAATAATGCAGTTTGGGGATAAGATATCCTGTAGAACATGTTCGTTTTACTTTTTAAGTTTTTAGCCCATGGGCCAATATTCGAATTTTGAAGGTTCATGAAAAAGTACAAGTCCGTGGCCATAGTGGGTCTACCATACTCTACTGGTAAACTGCACTGACCTGCTGTACCATGGTAGGAAGAGTCCATATTGTGAAAAGTTCTACTTGACACGCGAGTTGCATTTGTGTCTGTTTATTAGCCCATGGGCTTATAAACGGAGGTGGGCTTATATCCGGGAATGGGCCCGTGGGCTTACATGCGCGGAATTACGGTAACTTATAAGAACGCAGCCAGATTGCAGAACGCCTCAGGCTAACCCCTAGGAAACAACGTTCTTGGACGCACGACTCTACTGTACGCAACTGATGGAACTGTCACAAAAGCTTGCAATGCAGTTGTCCACGCACACATTGGCCATCCAGAATGTCCCCGATCGCTGTCTGAGGAAGATTTGCCCTTTTTTTCATGCCACGTGTTCTTGTGCAGGCGGATGATGCTCTGTTTTACGATTCCAACCCATCGCTATCTTGCATTGGCTTGGATGTACCAAAGGCAGAAGATTGAAGAGTGCAGCGCGCTTCCCAGGCCGAAGGTGTCTTGAAGCCCGAGAGAGGTGTCCGCCTCAGTGACTTGCTGGATTGTCAAGTCTAAAGTCCGCAATCCGAATCTGGGACTATCATGGGACGTGAACGGCTGTTGAGCAGCTGCTGAGCAGCAAGCCCGACAAGCTATTTAGTGTGTTCACCCACCCCATGGCTGGTCTATGCTCTGCGCCAGTTGTGCGTGTGTGTGTGTATCGTGTGTCCGGCTATCGTCGATGCCCAGGCGTGCACAACCTGCGTGTGCCGTCGCCCCCTGGCATGTTGTTTCAAGAATGACATCGTCACATCAGCGCTAAGTGTTGCCAGGTGGCGCTGCGTCACTGGTGTTTCATCCACCGCCACCACTACCCACTACGTACAGGAGGCTAACAGCACTGGCTTACATGTACATGTATAGCTGGTTCATGAAGTCATTGACTTGAGCCACAATTTTCCTGCAGCTGCAGTGCGTTTCAGAACCCTGGACCATCAGACTTTTTCTTTTGAAAAATGAGATATTCGAATAAAAATAAAAATCTCGTCAGGACTTGACTCAGACGGGCTTTGCACCTCTCATCATGTGACTAGAGAGATTCTGCATTTCGAATTTTGGAATGTGTTTCGACGGAAGCCAAGAAGAACTTGCAACTCGACGGCTTCTTTCCGTTCAACTTTCCCCCGACGTTTGACTGCTCTGCCAACTCTCGGACCCGGTATTCGAAAGATATTCGGAAATTCGAAATGCAGAGCCTCTGTACTGTCTTTTTTAAAAGGTTTTGTTATCTAATCGTTGAACGTTTCAACGTATAACGATTAGAATCTGATAACAAACACACGCAATTGCAAAAAAAAGTGTGTTCACGATGGTACCACCGAGTTGCGGGGCATGTTACAGGGTCTGTGTGTGTTTCGGAACAATGGTCCAGACCAAGAGTGCATGGACTCCTGTCCATACCAGCAAGATACCAGTACCAGGGAGTTGTAAAAATAGTAAAGTTGTTTTTTGTTTTGTTTAAATTAACAAGTGATATCTCCGACCTTATGAACCCATGCAGCCCGGCCCGGGGCTGCTATGATAGGTCTGTTTTGACTTGCCACCTCTGTAGCTTAATTTCAACCAGGGAGTAGTACAATACCGGGTAATGGTATATACACAGAAGCCTTGCTTGGTAGTTAAACATGTTTTTCGATTTTGACAGCATGTTACAACTTGGCGAGGGCGCGTAGTGCTCCTGACTACAACCACAACCCGGTTGGCAGAGTCCCGGTCTTGCGACCATTTGAACCGTATTGGGAAGACCCAGTTTCGGACCCTCATTACACTAGGGGTTGGTAGGATTTAGAAAATTTCTTTTTGTTGTTGTAGAAGTCGTCGTGTTGCCGCCGTTTTGTCTGAGAAGGACGCCATGGCCATATGGGCAGAAGTTGGAAAAAAGACAAAAAAAAGAAAAGAACAAAAAAGAAAAAAAGAAAGATAAATGACAAATTACAGAGGAAGACAAGAAAATAACAACATCACAATCACAAAATCCTTCCCAGACGTGATCCCTACAGCGGCAGCAACGCGACAATGTGAACAATACTGCGGCGGCAACACGACGACTTCTACAACAAAAAAAGAAATTTTCTAAATCCTACCAACCCCTAGAGTAACGAGGGTCCGAACCTGGGTTTTCCCAATACGGTTCAAATGGTCGCAAGACCGGGACTCTGCCAACCGGGTTATGGTTGTAGTCAGGAGCACTACGCGTCCTCGCCAAGTTGTAACATGCTGTCAAAATCGAAAAACATGTCAAAATACCGGGTAATGTACTACTCCCTGGCTTCAACGCAGCGCTGACCGGTGTAACTGCGTTTTCGCTGATAGTCCTGCACCAGACATTAGTGGGATGTGGGTTCCAGGGGTGTCCCTGGAACCATTCTCGCGCAGGTTACTCGTCTGGTACCGTTTTCACGGTTACACCGGCTTGAATATTCATATGACCAAGAGTACATGAACCGCCGGATCATGAAACGAGACACTAGGAAAATAAGAAAAAATAAGTTTGACATAATGATATCTATATGTTGTACTTCGAAGTGGGTGGAATTTTTTAAACACATAGTCATAGTGCAGGCAATTTCTACTTACAAGTACATGGGCTATCAGGAGTCCACATTTATGTACTCCTGGTGGTAAGTGTTGGAACCACTAACACTACAGTGCATAACCCTCAGCACTATGCATAGCAGATAGAGAATGAAAATTAAAGGAGACAATAACGCCGAGAGGGGAGCGCCAAAGATGTCAACGGAAATCCAGCACAGTGTAGAAGATAGTAGAACCGCTAGTGCACCACCACACTTCGACATCTGTCTCACTCAAGTAATACGGAGCAACTCCGATAAGATAATCCGGGTAGAGGATGGCATCATGCATGCGGATCCGGCACCCTAGAACACACGCAAGCGTCGTTCCATACATGCGACCTGTCTGATAACACCAGCTGCCAGTTTCATTGACGTCATCCACTGCTGGAAGCGACGCCAATCAAGTGGATGACATCATCAACGCCGGGAAATACCATCGATTCATGATACCACCCATCAGCAAATGAGCACGGCGTATCAAACGCCGGTCTGGTTGTAGATGAGGTCCTCCTCGCTAGAGTTGCCCTGGTCCTGCATCAAGGCGGCCAGATCTCCGCTGGAGTTTGGATTGCGACGGCGCTGGCCCAGCTTGGCCAGAGAGCTCAGCTCCAGGCCTTTGCCCTGAGACTTGCTTGCCGCTCGTATGCCGTTGGATGAACTGCCCTCTGTGTGCGCGGAGTAACAACAAAAACAAACAATCAGAGAAAGAAGGCCCCTGGTTCGAGTCCTGGTGTTGACAGTCGATTTGTTCTTCATACTTTTCCCTTTTCCATTCCCTCAACCAGTGAATGACCAGAGAAAGAGTCAACATTTTGAATGTGGGGAGCACGTTGATGACCAAGCTACAGGCATGCTGGACCAAAGACTACCAGATTTCCCGAATTACAAAAAAATTCACTGTTCGTGTGAGACTCGATTTTGTAATAAATTATGATCAGTTGTAAGATGCATGCCCTTCTTCGACCTTGGGATATATGTTACACTCAGTATGGCATCCTTCCTCTATTTGTCATCACTGTCTCTATATGGCATCACCTGGTTACTTTGTGCCTATATGGCTTCACTGCGACTTTCTCTATATACCTCCAGGTCATTCTATATAACTCCAGGTCATTCTCTATATTCCAACTCAGGTTTTGTATGGAGAAGTTGGCAATCTGAGTTGGAGCCATACAGAGAAAGTCTCAACCTGGGTGGAGATATATAGGGAAAGTCGCGTCTGGAGTTATATAGAGAATGACCTGGAGTTATATAGAGAAAGTCGCAGTGAAGCCATATAGGCACAAAGTAACCAGGTGATGACGTATAGAGGAGTGAACACATATAGAGAGCTGGTGGACTACTGAGTGCTACATATATTCTAAAAAAGGTGCGAATGAAATTCAGAGAGACGCTACAGTCATGGAGTACTGAACTGTGTCACACAAGCAACAAGAGCAATGGACACACACACGTATACACACACACACACACACACACACACACGCGTATACACACATACACATGCACACACACGCACACACATGCACACACGTGCACACACACACGCACACACACAGTGATGGACGAAGTCACGGATCCAATGAGTTACCTTCTGCACGGCTTGCTTTGATGGCCGTGTGCAGGACGATGCCGCAAACGCACACGATACAGCCGACGACGTTGACCGCCGTAAACTGGTCACCATTCATGCTGTGCGCAATTGGGAATATACTTATCTCCTGTTCACAACAACAACAACAACAACAACAACAACAAGAAACAAACAGCAGCAGCAGCAGCAGCAGCAGCAACAACAACAACAAAACACAGAAACACCCAAATTAAAATCATTTTGTGAACTGACACAAAATAGCGGGGCCAATGGAAAAAAAGAAAAAAAAGAGAAAAAAAGAAAGAAAAAACAAGCTTGAGGTTTCTCACAATCAACATCATGAAAGCTCTTCTACTACAAGTAGTGTGCTCGTTGCCTTCTCATCAGGTGGAACGCAGGCAAAAGGTAACTACTGACCAAGGTGGACACTGAAGTAGTGATGTGATAACAACGGCACAAAGAAGAGTAGCCAAAAAAAACAAGTCGGTAAAATGCACAACCTCACACGCATAAATAAAAAAGGAATCACAAAAAGGTGCAAGTGTGAAGAAAACAAACAAAGAGAATGCTGTACGACTGCGACAATTTTTAGAAGGCCATACAGGTTTTATTCATAATACTATGGATAAACGAAGTAGCGGTGAGGCATCCTGCAGCTTCATAACTCGAAGAGAATTGGTGAGCACACATGCTCATTGCATCCTGATGATGGGCAATTTGCCAAAACGTTGAAAATGATTCTGTGAAATGAAATGAGTTGTGAATTTGCAGTGCCCAGGGAATGAGCATGTGAGTCACCAATTCTCTTCGAATTATGGATAAAATTATAATTATGGACTGCGACAACACTGACACTTATTAGACAGCCCAGCCTACCAGAGACAATACTAACAAGTTGTGGACGACCTACTAAACAGCCCAACTCGGTGAATTTATTGTGTTTTTGATTCCAGAGGTTACACTTCCTAGTGTGAATATAGATCATTTCTACAGCATTCAATAATCTAGCACGTTGTACAAGTGACAACATTGAAACAATCATCTGAGTGCACAGCACAACATTCAGGATGCCCAGACAAATGGTTAGCAATGGATGACTCATATTAATTTTATCACTCCTACAATACATCGTACATCAAGAACAGAATTCACAGGCGCGTCGGCGTGATGCAGTAGCAGCCGTGCACTAACCTTGAAAATGCCCACAATGGACAGTGTCAAGCCGCTGGTGTGCGACAGCAGCAGGAACTCAAACAGGTTGAGCAGGCACGCCAGGACAGCGCCGAATAGGATCAGGAATACCGACGTCAGCACCGTGTGGAAGTCCTTGGCGGAAATCAGCGACAGGGACACCGACACATCGTAGCCTGCAGCAGCAACAGCAACAGCAACAGCAACAACAACAACAACAACAACAATGCAGGGTTATGGCAATGACGGCAAAACATTGTGATAAGCCGCACACTTTTTAAAAGTTTTAACCTGATCACAGTGGTGTATTTCGTTGTTCTCTACGATATCTGGGAGTGGGTGAAAACTTGAATAGAAGGTAATACGCTGCACATGTTTCCAATCGAGACAGTGGCACATGCAGCTAAAGACAGGCTGTATGTGTACCAAACAGTGGGCGAATGGCCGCCGCTGCTGCATCAGTGACAGTACCTTCAACAACCATAGCCATGGGCGCCAGCACGACCAGCATGCATGGCAGAAGATGGAAGACAATGTCAACTGGATTAGAGAGCCCTGCGCGGAAACAACACAAGATAAATCAGAAAATCACAAACAGTACAGGCCTTTCAAAATCTGCCACGAAAAGACAAAATCCGACAAGGAGCAGCTGATGAATGAGGACGTTTACGCCCAAACAAACGAAGCTTTCTGCAGAGCGCTTACGGCTCTTCGCACAGAGGCAAGAGCAAGCGACAACAGGTTCAACATCGTCAAACACGACACCCGCAACTTAGACTTGACTGTTGGTGAAACTACGGCGAAAGCAACACGCAAATCATACCATGACAGCTTTACTGACCTGAATCCTTGTTCTGCATGAGCAACTGGGAGAAGCTCCACCGGACACCACCCAGGAACGCTGCCGTCATCACCTATGCCACAAAATACAAGAAAATACACCATTTGAAAACGGCAACCAATGACACCACCAGCAACCAACAACGACGACGACCACAACAACAAGGGCGGCAACCAACAACAACATCTCTTATTGGCGATGGTGCCATCGTGAGAATAAAGAATTTAAAAAAATCAACAACAACCCCACATATACTCTCGCTGCATACTGCTAGCAACGTGCAACCTTTGTATAACTTACGTCGCTCTCGTACTTGGCACTTGCCAACTCCGCGGACTGATCGCTGTCTCCATTCTCCCCTGTACAAGGCCCTTCATTACGTTAATTGCTTGCCCACCCAGCTTCGCGAAATCCCTTCTCGTACTCTCTTCAAATCCCAGATATCCCTGCTGTTGCACAACTCTGTATGCTCGTGTAGCGACCACCCCTGCCCGTACACTTAAGGTGGCCATATACCTTCGATGGTACTCCGTACGAAAACATGCGTAGAATCAGAATGCTTTGATAGATTTTGCTGAAATTTTCTGTACACACTCAGTGACGATCTTGAGCTGGTTGGGAGGACCCTCAAGACCTCGGCAGATCTTGAGGAGCTGAGGAGCATTGCCCAGAATCGCGGGGCGTGGACCTACCTCAGCGGCCGTATCCTGGAGAGATATGTTGCTGCTCACAGATGAACCCTGGTAATGATCAGCAAATTAAATTCAACTCGGTTGAGCTGCTCGTTTGCTTGTTTTAATTGTATTCTATTTTCGTCACGCGTTTTATATCGCATATGTTTTATATTGCCATCAATATCCTGTTTGGCTGTTGTCGCTTCGGCTTATGCGAAAGCTATACATGCTGTGTATATCTACATTGCATTGATGCCAACGCGGAGAAGCTTCTAATAATAATAAATAACTCAGTGACTAATGTAGATTGCAGATCAGTAACAGGCGTAGGGCACAGGAAGTGTGAGAAGGGTAGAGACAAGTTTTCACAAAACAATTCAGCAAAGTTCGCATGCTTTCCACTGGAACCAGCAGGTCAGTATATCGGTTGTGTTCTCTTGCCAAAAAAAGTATTTACAAAGGTCCATGTATGTACCCGAAGAGGTTATACCAAAAAAAACCATGTTCCAAAAGCACAAACAACCTTGAACAGAAGCTGTAAACATGAAGTGCGATGTGCGGCAAAATATAAGCTCACAAAACAGCAATGATTTCTCGCTTGTTGTCATCAAAAAACGGCTAATGTTTGGTATAACCTCTAGCCAATTCTATGCAGATTCCGAAAATATATATATTGCTGGGTGCAAAGTAAACTGTTAGAGCCGTGGAGTGGTTCCAAGCTCTCCGGGTCACTAAAAATAGGGAGAAAAAGAGGCATTCAAATACACTTTACCAGTCCGACCTGAAATACACATTACCAGTCTGAAATTATAATTGTTATGTGTGTATTCGAGGGCTCATAACTCATGAGTGGATCAACGAATTCACCTGCAATTTTCAGGATAGATCCCTGGGGGTATCAGGCATCAGTTCCAACACACAAAATGGAAATCCATCGAATTTGATTTTTTGACCCCTCTGAAGGTATATGGCCACCTTAAGTAGTCATTAATTAATCCCTAGGATCTGCCCACCCAATTCTTCCTCACTCTTTCTCCTTTCTTACACTATTATCTCTTATTGGCCACTGGCTAGCGTGAGAATAAAGGTTTGAAACAACAACAACAACAACAACAACAACAACAACAACAACAACAACAACAACAACAACAACAGCAGCAGCAGCAGCAGCAGCAGCAGCAGCAGCAGCAGCAGCAGCAGCAGCAGCAGCAGCAGCAAGCAAGCAAGCAAGCAACAACAGCCGTGTGTGAAGAAGGCGCAATTTCTTACAGAAACAGGGCACTCAGAGTTGCAACATCACACGAACTTTCTGTTGTGTTGTACTGCCATTGTACCAGTAGATAGATACACAGCATACTGTGAAACACCAAAGCGAGAACGTGACTGTCCACCTACCAGAAAGAATCCTTCTGCATCAAATTTAGTCGTACGGAACGTGAACATAAAGACTCCGGAAAAGATCAGCCCAACAACAGCGAACAGGGATAGTTTCTGAATTGGCAGAACCAAGAAAACATGCACGCACAGACACACACACACACACACACACACAGACACACACACACACACACACACACACACAGACATACGCACACACAGACACACACACACACACATACGCCCACACACACATGCAGCGAAACATCCCTCAGAGGGTGCTGCCCCACTCTGGGACAAAGTAGCATTTCCCGCTACAACAGGGGCGCAGCAGTCGGTCCGGCTTTGACCGGACCACTTTTTTTTAACACAATGCCAAAAGTGCCCAGAATGCAGGATTTTGCACCCTAATTTTAAAAAAACCTCCGGCCCGGACCACCTCCAACAGCGGTGCTACGCGCCTGTACACTACATGCACTCAATACACTTTACAGTACAAGTATTCAGGGGCGCAGGAAACAGTGGGTCTGGATCAAATTCTCACTCACAGCATGTTGCACACTTGGGTGGATCGTGTACCAGTAACTCCAAACAATGAGACATCCCTTCATGCTGATCAACACCCAGTGACCACACTATCATGTCACTATGCCACTCATACAGGAGACAGGCAGCAGCAGCACCACCACTTACGGCTTTCTCCAGACCGAGCAGAACGGAGAAGAAGAGGATGAATATGATACAGGTGCTCTTGGACATGGCGTAGCTGAGGGGAGCAACGATCACACACGCAAGCAACACAGTGCACATTGCCATGTTTTAATAGTGTGAAGACTTCACATGCAGCTCTCTCTCTCTCTATAGTCTGCCAAATGGCGGTCATCACATGCTCTATATAGAGTCTGTCAAATGGCGGTCATCACATGCTCTATCTAGCTGCAAACAGTTCTGGCACATCTTGCAAATCCATAATATTATCCTCTCACCGTCACCATCAGTTCGTATCACCAGAGACGTTCTGCAATACGAAAATGCGCACAAAGTTTCGCACCGGGCCTTGTGAAGGTTTGTACGAATGTTGCTCACTTTCGCAGTTCGCACGTGCCCACACACACATGGTGAACCCGTTGACCACTTTCGAGCCTACGAAAATTCTCACGAAAGTTTATTTCGCGTTTCATGCGAGTTTCGCGTCCAAAGTTCCGAAAGTTCACGCGAAGTTTCTCACTTCATGTAAAACGAAAAATGTGTACGCATTTTCGTTTTGAAGAAACTCTCTAACACCAGCGCGTGCCTGTCGTCTAGTCGATGAGCGGCAATGCCAGGAAGTCATTGCTGTGTGTCGTCGACTATGTGCCATGCACAAACGGATGCACCGGCCTGCCAAGCAAGATATCGCCACTAGCCGTCCAGTAGGTGCCAGGTACGAACTGAGGGTGACGGTGGGAGGAAATGGAGCTGCAAGATATGACAAACCTGTTTACAGCTAGATAGAGCGTGTTGGTCGTGTGTGTTGACCCCCATTTGGCAGCTTCCAAGTTCATGTTGATAGTTATCATGAGAGAGAGAGGGGGGGGGGGGGGAGGGGGGGGGGAGTAAAAGCCTCTGAAGACAAGTACATATTGACAGAGAACAGATGAACAGAGAGGGATGCAGTGGGGACTCTTGACTCCATCACTCACAGGGATACTGTGATGTACACCAGACTCCAGTTCGATAAGCCGATATCTAGACCACCCGCAACCGCTGTATACACCCAAACACACGCACACACCACCACCATCACCACCACCACCAAACGCATGCACGTGCACACACATGCACACACATGCATGCACACACACACACACACACACACACACACACACACACACAACGCAACACAAAGCGATCACAAGTGTCTAGAGAGCCGATTGCAAGTAGAGTCAGGCTATGATACAATTGCATCAGTAACAACGACAAATCATCACACAGAACAAATGTTGTGTCCAGATCTAGATCAAAGAAGGAGGCCAGTCCAAGTCCACTTTGGTATCGCTGGACTGCAATTGCATAAAACAAAACAAAAAACCTTTTCCCAGTTGCCCCAGTGGTGTGTGTGTGTGTGTGTGCGTGTGTGTGTGCGCGCATCTGTCTGTTTGTCTGTGTCGGCTACACAGAGCTTCACACTGGCTAGCTATCATCAGGCAACGGTTGGGCCAGTGCACGGAAATCTGATCACCAACCGCACACAACAATTCTACACACACACACACCGGTCTGGGTCAGAGAGCAGCAGACACTTACCGGGCAGCACCACGCGGTACACATAGTTTCCCCAGCCGAGCGTCAGCGGCTTGTCGTCGCGGCAACCCGGATACGACCAGCGGCGTATCACCCAGATGACGAAGAACGTAAATGTCAGATGCGCCACAGTGATGGACAGTGGGAAAGGCAGGTCATGCTCCTAGAGGAACATTCAAACAAGTTACAACACAAGACACCGTTGAAACTTGAAGTCAACATTTTTTCTTTCTTTTTCCTTCTCTTGCCATGGCTGGCTAACGCCTCCTCCTTTGCATTGGCTTCTGCCATTGGACGGTGAAATGAAATAAAAAAATTTAAAAAAACAACCATTAGGGGAAAAAACGGACTGCAGTGTGCTGCAGATGGCTATGAGTCACACAAGCCGTAACTATCCTGTTTTCGTTCTCAAAGCGCCAAATTGACGGTTCGCCGGCTTCTCGTGCGCCACAGAGATAGGCGTGAGGAGTGAATCAAGTCACCGTTTGAGCTGCGTGAAGGCGCACACCCAATAAATTACAGCACTTCATCGAGATAGTGTATACCAGTGCATGGTAGGTGGAAATAAATTTCAGGTGTATAGTAATGTCGGTGTCGGGGACCCGACGGGTTGCCGATGTGACGTAGAATTAGGTGACCAGCATTCCCTCCACCTACAGGGCATACTCTAGTGCCTTTAGAGGTTAGGTGTAATTTAAAGACATGTACATGTATACAGTACAGGTGCCTGGTTTCTCTACCGAAATTAAATTTATACCGAAAATAAAGTGTTACACAGCTGTCCACATACCCCTCCACCGTTCAGGAGCCATTTGTTGTAGAAGGTCAGAGCCACAGAAACAGCAAAATACGGCGCGATGAACGGCAAAGATTTCACGCCGTACTCAATGCATCCCAGCACGGTGATAGGGGGTGGGCTCATGTTACGTATGCCAGACACCTCTGCCCATTATAAGAAGTCAGCTGTTCATGTGAAATCCTTCGAGGAAATCACCATTCCGCCAACGTCACTAAACTGGCGGCAACATCCACAGAATACCCACCGGAATCCTGCACTGCACGCAAGCTTTACTTCAAGCCTTTCCAATGTTATCATGCAAACGCCAAAAGAAGTCGACAAAGATCAAGAGCTCAGATACTATTTTCCCGATTGCTTCCGCATATGTCACTTTGTATGTTGTTTGTGCTTTTTTGCTGATCCTGGATCTTTCTTTTTGAACGATGAATGACACGTGCCTCCAAAGTGTCGTAATGGGGCTGTTAAGTGTGACGTCACGGCTCCTTCGATACGCATAGCAACGGAGAGCACTGGGGACAAACAAAAGTCGCGTCCTCTGGATGGAACCAGATGTCAAGGGCAACAGCATCTAAATGACTGGAGAGACAGCAGTTTTTCTTTGCTTTTTCTTCAAGCGATTGTTGTCGCTCTTTACTCCTTGTTCTTTCCTCTACAAAAGTCCTGTAGTCGTCGAGTGCCTTCATGATGGCTGTGAAATTGCCTGCCCACAGTAAAACTCCGTGTTTGAGAGTGCTTTGAAGATGTTTCGCGTCCTGATGGATCAAAGTATGAGCGCTCCTTGTGGATTCGATTATATATAGGTGAGTTGTTCAAGAAATCCTGAGTGTCTTCTTTCTGTCTCTGCCCTCACGCTGGCACAATATCAGCCTCTATATCCATGACAGCTCGCACCTCCCGTAAACTGCATGACTTAGATATATTCTCGCCCTCCGTGGTGATTGAAGACCATGGAAGAAGAGTTATTATGTTCAGAATGATGTCCTGAGAATATAAAATAAAATAATTCTAGGGAATTGTTACAGGGTATTTTGGAAGGATGGAGAGAGAGAGAGAGCACTGAAGTGTTTGTCTCACTGTAATTACTCCAGATTATTGAATGGTGTATGATCTACTCGATATTTTCCATAATGGTTTTTCCTGATTTGCGGGATCTCTTCTTTTGCTGTTTGCGTGTTTACAGGAAGTGGCTGTCTGGTGTAACTGCACCAGATCCTGGGGAAATTAAGTCAGATGCAGAGGCAGGGTCGTCCAGTGATGCAACACTGCCGTTCTGTGTGCAGCGTTACCGCTAATACCCCCGGCGAAAACACAAAGACAAACACGTGAAAAGACTACAGTATTGACCGTTCTGCTAATAAATGCATGACTGCTCCGGCAGTCGATAATCGAAACACAGAGCACCAGCATGATGTTTTCATATTGGGAACCACACAACAGCTCAATTCTCAAGCCCAAAAATTGATGAATACAAATACAGAGCGACGCAACAAGAGATCATCCGGCAACCAAACAAACCTGGGTCTAATGCACTGAATAGTCCCGAAATACGCAGGCCAGACAAAGCAGTGCAAGCACATAATGTTACAAGGTACATGCATTGCAGAACAAAGTGTAACCAAAGATACACAGGTTTATAGCTGCACACTTGTGCATGTGCTCGCTCAGCCCAAGAACACACGATCATGATGATAAAAACAGTCCGGGGGAAACACGCTAACACCGAAGTAAGCATCAACACGTAAATAGTGCAGCTCTGAAAAAATTACATTGACATGTACATTGGTGTGTCGAGTAGTATCAGGCTTGAATAATCATCCAACCAAGACTTCATCAGGTCCCAGACGCTGAGATCGCACGCCGGATGTGAAGGGCATCTAGCCTTGAACCTGTCGCACAAGGCACACATATATGGCAAAATGACATCCACTCTGATTATTTCCAGAGGCCAATCATGACAGAACACAGAAATGAAACCACGGCTCAACCATGTAAACGCAAAGGAAGTTATTCAAAATAATCCATGCAGTGCTCTCTTAATTGCAGCGCTGATTGCAGTGTTGCGTCATAGCCCGATACCCGCTGAGCACAGACACAACTCCATTCGTCAGGGGCAAGACATACTCTTTTGGAATAAAGTCATAAAGTACAGCGTTCCAATGACATTACGGACACCTCGTGCAAATGCATGGTCTGTTCATCTGGCCGACTCGGCCACGCATGAGAGTGTGTGCATGTACATGCGCGCGCGCGCACACACACACACCATGTATTCGGTGCGTATGGTGTACCAGTTGCGGGACAATGAAGATGGAATCATTATCATGATGTTACATGTACACCTACAGTGTATGTTTGAGTGTAAAGTAAATTTTATTTTATTGCACATTTCTTCGACACAACTAATTACTTACTTCACATGTTCGCATTTCTCATAATCGATCCACCTGCACTCCGTATCAGTCGAGGAAAATTCGCCCAGATATACACTAGTCACCACAGCCATGTGATGACATTGGGATGGGCCCAAGCACGATTGCACTCTCTAGTTACAATAAATTTGGCCAGATTATCTGTGAAGACAAAATGCAATGCATAGCGGCAATCGATGGATGAAGAGAGAGTTTGTAAATACCTATATCTTTCCACTTGTTCAGGAGCTTACCTTTTGGAGTTCACATCGTTTACACGATCTCTCATGCTGTCTTGCACCTTGGTTTTGTTGACCATGGATACGCCATCCCAGAAAACATTCTACAGGAGCTACTAATGCAGAGCGTTTTTCACGCTCGATCTCGGCGATCTACCTTGTCACGCCAATAAAATTCTCCGTGACACTGGCTACAGTCACAAGAGACGTCTCAGTAAGGTAATGAGCACGACAACATCGTCGAGATCAAGGACAAAGAGAAAACAAAACACTCACTGAAAACAGCAAAGAAGAAACGAAGAAATGTACACGATTCCTATATGTTGCCACTGACAACTGGTTCGGTGGAGACGACGCTACTTTTGTTTGTCCCCAGTGGGATCGTTGTTATGCGTATCGAAGGAACTGTGACGTCATCACTTAACAGCCCCATCTGACAACTCATGACCTCACGATCACATGATCTGAGCGGCTGTCTGGCTGATTTGTTCCTCACAAACCAGCTAAAATAATTAATTAATAAAAGTCCTAAAGCCAGTAAAGGCTTAATTATAAACCATGTAAACCCTCCCACGAAGAGTTCATAACCCCCAGCTTTGCTCCCACCTGTACATCATGACTGTGTCCTGCTTGCATACATGATGTAGCACAAGAGTAACCTTGGCCATGCAATGACCAATGGCAATGGCAATGTACAGTCGTCCCTCTCTAATCCGGCACTTTATAATCCAGCACCCTCGATAAACCAGCACAATTTTCAGTAGCCAAAATGTCCTCTTCATGCACATTGCAGCAGTAAATCAGATTTGTTAATCCAGCACCCTCCCTAATCCAGCAGATATTCGTGGCACAAATGGTGCCGGATTATAGAGGGACCACTGTATAATATTACCAAGACTGCAAGAGCATACTCTTGGTATTACTAAACGGCCGTGATCACTAATAGTAATAGTAATACTAGTAATAGTAGTAATACTAATAGTAGCAAGAGTACATACCTTTTGAGATGCATAATTATGATCCAGTACAAAATGGTTTCTAAGGAGGTGCTATAAGAACGCAGCCAGATTGCTGAAAAAATTAATAAGAACGCCCCTCGGAAACAACGTTCTTGGACAAGCGACTCTACTGTAGACCATTAGTTAGACGTTTCCGACTCTACTGTAGACCATTAGTTAGACTATTACTATAATAATATTAGCAAGAGTATTTCATATCTGGCTTGCAAGTGTTGAGTCGCGGAGAGAAAAGAGCAGTACATGTACGTGGCATGTGGCCTCTAATTTCCTAAGAGTACATACTTTGGCTTTTTAGTGGTTTCTATCTCATGTTTTTCAATGTGTGAGACTTCATTCACTATTTTTTCTTTCTTTTGAGAAAATTGTGGGTGTTTCTCGCATACATGTACCTTCATTTGCTGTTGCCTTATACCTTCTTTTTGATGGTTTCTGTTGCTCATTTGGATTGAAATAAAACGATTCGCCTATATTATAGTCTTGCTAATAGTAATATCAAGAGTACATGGGTTATGTACTCTTGATAATATCAAGAGTAGATAACAGTCAACCTCCCTTTCCCTGCATGCCAATAATGATGAGTGTATTCACCCGCAATGATTTATTATTATTCCTAGCTCAAATCAACCCATGGATGCCCCATCTGATTTCGATACTTTTAGTTTTTACAAAGTGGAACAAGCGCATAGGCCCAGAAGCAGGGAGTCGTCAAATACCCGGTATTTGACGACTCCCTGCCCGGAAGCACACCAGGAACAATTATTTCCGTGCATGAATGCTCGAATCGAAACACACACAAGTTGACACATGATGTTCTTTGTACAACAACTCACAAGATCACCAGTGCATTGCAGTGGGACAACACAGGACGTCCAATTAGAATTGGCCAATACGAGCAAACCATGTAATGGTTGCGCTGTGTAGTTGCAGGTACAAACAAGACACCCCCACAACACACACTGCGCACATGTGACATGCCATCAAGAGTATAATAATAATATTATAATTATACGCTTGATGCCATGTACATGTATATGCACACATTGTGACACAGTCCATCCAAGGCACATTTCAAAGACTGTTACTATCACCAGCAAAAGCTGAACCATTCTTCTGTTGTGTGAAGGAAAGTATCATGAACATAGAGGAGCGTTTGCCTTGATGTACAGGGCACACACTACAACTACCATGGACAGAGTCCACAAACAACAGAGTCAACGACCAGGTCCAAAAACATCACACGGAAGAGGGGCCCAGTAACCAGTAGAACAATACTCAAGCAAATGCATTGCACCAGTGTGCCCATGAACATAGAGGAGCGTTTGCCTTGATGTACAGGGCACACACTACAACTACCATGGACAGAGTCCACAAACAACAGAGTCAACGACCAGGTCCAAAAACATCACACGGAAGAGGGGCCCAGTAACCAGTAGAACAATACTCAAGCAAATGCATTGCACCAGTGTGCCACGCAACAGATTGCGCATGTTGACAGACCAACAACCATTCCCGTGAGGAGGCTGACACTTGAAAACCAAAAAGGTACATGACAACGCTGCCAGACTAAATTCGGTTCTCATGCCAAGGTCCAAGAAGATTTCATGTTAAACACGCCAATGCGAGACGGTGAAAGGGCCAAGTACAGTACTTTTGAAGTAAAAAAGGAACAAAGTTGGGCAATTTCCAGCCACAGCGTTGTCAGGTACCGTAGCTACGCAAAGGGCAGATGGTGTTAAAATCATTACTTCTTGGGAGGTGGTCTGCAAACACGACAAAGGAGAGAACAAACAAAAAACAGAAACACCTCATTCAACGTTCAACAAGTTGTGCACAGACACAGAATAACTGCATATACCTATAACCACAAAGAACCAAAGCGTGGAACAAGTTTTGGAGTCACGGAAACGTGTCGCATCGCGAAAAAGCTGACCTGAGCCCAACTTGTTTGGCCCATTGCGTGACAGTTTTCCCGTGCGCGAAATGAAGTATGAATCGGACTTTAGACGAAATCAAGGGAGTCTCCGTTTCAATCTAAGATAATAGCACAGGAACGTGTCCATAAAGACACTACAGATGATATCCAATAGCCAAATATGACCGCTTTCCTCTTATAAAATTAACCTGCTAAAGAACAGCAGGAAGAGCTGTCACGTTACCAAAATCTCACTGACGTGCGTCTGACTTGTGGGACTGTCGGAGGTACAAATACCCTCCGGTACCAAGGTGCCATAAGACAGGGATTAGTGCAATCTGTTCACCAAGAAAGCTTTGTGTGCGCTGTGGAGTGACGGAAGAGGCGGGTGCACAGCGTGACAGTCACACAACTTACCTGTAAACACCGACGACGACAGCGTGGTCTCTCTCGTACGGCTCGAGCGTCAGCTGCTCGCGGGGCTTGAGCTGGTCAGCTGCTAATCTTTTCACTTCGCTGGCGAAGACTGCTTCGGGCTCAGCTGTGCTGTCAACACAGTTTGCCTGGACAAAACAAACACAAAATACCTTTATTAGCTACCCAATTGAAATGCAATCGCACCATTACTTGACACCACATCATGCATTGAGGCAGGAAACATAGTGTGCCGCACAAGAAACAATAAGAAACTTGGTACACCGAGGGTCCAAAGAGAAAGAAAAAGCCAAGAAAAGCAGTCAACATAAACAACTTAAAATGAGGCTTCAGTTACCTTGATCGAAATGACGTAGTGGCCACCGTTCTTCAGGAAGTTTTGTGCGTTCATAGCAACAATACGGGCCTGGTCAGGTTGAGCGACATCAGCGAATACGACATCAACCATACCTGGAGGAGTAAAAACACCACAAGGAGAGATAGAGGTCATACAGCAGCCGGGTACTGGCCACCACAGCGAAACAAAGGTATCACTTGTACAAGCGTGAATGCAAAAAAGGGCAGTTGCATACAGCTGTGCTGGAAAGTAGAAACTCACCGACAAGCATGCGGTATTTGTGCGGGTGACGGGCATCTTCGATGATGGGAACGATGTTCGTTCTCTTTTTTGCTACATTGATCAGATCTCTGCCTGAACGGTGCGAGAACTCGACGGCATACACTGCGCCTTCCTGTGACCAAAACACACACATACGCACGCACACAGACAGACAGAAATAAGCATATGTCCCGTACAAAGGATGAAACAGTTCTGTCCGCAGATTGAGTATGAGTATGTGACGAGTAACATACATGTATGTTGAACACAACGAAAATTATCATTGCTGTGGCATGTTACAAGGCTGGCAGCGAGAGTCAAGAAGATCATCTATATAACAGATACCACCCCAGGAAAGAAAAACAACCCAGGCCTGACAGAAAGTAGGCTTGCTTATTGCAACTGAACATGCTTTCCTTGACGCCACTACAAATGCTGACCAAGTGCGTAATGAAAACTATCCAAAATCGTTAAAAATAGGATGTCACTAGATGAGCATGTCCAGTAAGGCCTAAACAAACGCTACGCAACGACTATCTTACCGGACCAACAATGTCAGCTACATGGGACACGGTCGTTCCTGATGCAGCACCGAGGTACAGGACTTTGGCACCGGGCTTGATGTAGATATTGCCTACACCACCGACGATGGCAGCAGCCAACTTTGATCTGAAGGGATTCCAGACACGGTACTCGATTTTGTCACCACCTTCAACCTGCAGCACGCAAAAAAGGCAGACGAATAATCAACACAAGGCTCAGCCTGTCTCTACTCTTGCCCAACCACTTTTATAACACCATGTGGTAAAAAAAACCCACAGTCCCCGTCGTTCCGAACTGACCTCATTGTACATATCGTGAGCATACAGCTGAGTGCTTTTTCCCCTTTGCCACAGTATAAAATACTTGAAACCTATAGCAGGCAATACACTCATTTACAACGTGAGTAAATCAGGAGAAAGGAATGTTTACCTCTACTTGAATTCGCTTCTCGTTGTAAACGGAGTCGCCGGGAACAAGGTTCTTCGTGACCAGAACGTCTTCCTTGCCACGGGCAATGAATACACCTTTAAAACGAGACAACAAACAAAAGACAACGAACTGTAGGCCAAGTCTGACAAGGGCAGTATTAAACTCCCTGGACCAATGTGTGAAAGATACAGCATTGGTCAAGAAGCAGTACAGGTACAAACTATTAACAATTTCGAGCCCAGCTCGAACCACTTTGGCCATAACAAAACTAGGCCCCAGAAATGATCATATGGGGATACTGTAATTTCACAAATTTTCGGTGTACTTTTATTTTCAGTACTTTCGGTACGTCTGTTTCATACCTAAAATTTCAATACAGCGAACAAACACTAGCACACATAATCCGATAGGAAACTGTTTCTCTGTACCTAAAATTTCTGTTTGCCTAACCTGGCCTTTTGACCACATACCGAAAATATTGAGCACCTAAAATGTCAGTACATACCATCAGATATGCATTTCGTTGTACCTATGGACACTTGAAGCACGAAAAACGCAATTGTTTGAACTTTAACGCCCCATAAGTACGTCGGAAGTGCAACAAAGAGTATCTCCGTATGAATATCATTTCTGGGGCATATGCATGCTAGAGAACAACTTAGAACAGAGGAAACAGCTTCCGTCAAAGTTTTTTTTCGTGGTCAAAGTGGTTCAAGCCACCTCAACTTCGTAAATAACAACACTTTTCCCAGGCCTGAGTGAGGGCCGTTATTCAAGAGGCTACATGCATTCACATTTGATCCCATGTGAGTGGCGTCTTGCTCACGTGTCACCTGCAAACCCTAGCAAAAGAACATGGGAGGAGCACTGAAATGCACTACTCCTTCACTGGATCAGTAGCCAGAGACTAGTCAAGTTTACTATCAGGTGGCAAATACCAACAAATTAGTGAAGGCGCCAGGCGCAAGATGACACAATACAGTAGAATTCTAATTCTTTGGACGCAAACTATCCAAAAGGCCGGGTCACATAGAACGGTGGGACAAAAAAGAGTTCTTGCAGTGTTTTCCTACCTGCAATACAATAGCACTGGCACAGAGGAGGCATGGCAGTGAGGTGTCATCAACACGTTAGTTTGGAAAGGCTGGGATGTGTCTTATTTCTGTAGTACATGTACTTCTATATTTTTCCGATTTTGACAGCATGTTACAAGGCGAGGACGCATAGTGCTCCTGACTACAACCATAACCCGGTTGGCAGAGTCATGCTGCTGTCAAAATCGAAAAACATGTTGAACTACCAAGCAAGGCTTCTTTATATATACCAATGCACTTGTATTGTATTGCCAAAAAAAGAACGAGAACTGGTAGATGTGTGCCCGCTCCATAATCCGAATACTCCTCGTCCAAACCCCATGAAGATGGCCCTGCTCCCTAAGGGTTGCTGATAATCTACTCGAGTGTACAACTGAAGTTCTACATACACAGCTCAACGACGAAAAGGTCGTCTGAACAACAGCCCATCACAGTAAACAAGATCACACATCTCGCTATGGCGGAGTGAAAGAAACTCACCTTCGTGACGATGAGGTTCGACAACTACTCTAGCGCCACCTCGCATTCCACCTAACACAAGCAAAGGGAGCACCGTTAACCAATGTGCCACATAGCCTGAGACATCCCAGTTACGCCCTGGTAGCATCAACCTTTAGCACGACTACTAACCGTATACAAAATTCAAAATGGGCACATGCAAAAAGCAAGACAACGCAAAGACCTCCAAAATTACAAAAAGTTCCAACAGGAATGCGTAAACGGGGGTGAAAAAACACCTTCTTCGACCTGTTTACACCCATCAATGTCAACTAGAAATACTGCAGAGTACACACACATATGCGCGTGTGCACGTGAGGTACTGTACTTACCGCGGCCGCCACCACGTGGTCCACCGCGTCCTCGGCCACCGCCGAAGCCACCGCCGCGGCCCCCAGGAGCGCCACGACCGCCACCTCGGCCACCGCCGCCGCGGCCACCGAAACCACCACCGCCTAAACGCACAAAGAGAATCACAATGAGTGCACGCAACAGCCATGTCTTCAGCCAAATATGATCACGCCAGCAGAATTCGCACTAGCTACCTCAGGAGTTGCACTACCGTAAAGTCTTGCATAAAAGCCGCAGTGAAATTTTGCAGGCTTCTATACAAGACAGGTGTTTCTATGTGTGTCAACACTAAAACCAGGCTTATGAGTGATTTGATGGGCCCAAAATTGCGGCTTTTTATAAGACTTTACAGTATACATGTAGAGTAACACCTGTCAAGGCGACCACTCGGATAGGGCGACCACCTGTCCTAGAAGACCACTGCAACCAGGACCAAGGGATGCTATCTATTTCCAGTCAAATGACCCTGGATAAGGAGGCCCCCTGGTAACGGAGACCACGTTTTGAAGGTCCCTTGAACGGCCGTCTTAGACAGGTCTCACTGTACATGTACAGCAAAATCTCGGTGACGATTGTTACTGATTTGTTAGCTCCTGGAAGGCCGTTTTATGAAGCACCATATCCACCGGTTAGGCAGTCAGGCGCAGTGGGTTGATCTAAGACCATGATTGAGAAACGAGAGGTACCAAGTTCAGTTCTGCTTGGAAGCGGAAAGATGTTTTTCGCCAACCGTGCTGCGACACGCAGTGAATTTAGAACTCGTGGCCTGGCACAAGGAAACAAGGATGTGGCAAATGGGATTTCGGCCTTTGGCCTCCGGTCGGCGGATATGATCCATCCTCCCCCACTGTGCAGGAACCGCAATTTGACGACTGATCATGGGGTGGTGGCGTCTCACGGAAGCGGATAGGCGATACTTGACCCGCCCTGTACGTGAACCCGTGCAATCATAAATATATTTTATTGTAAATATCTACATGGTAGCCTCGTTCATAATCTACGCGGCACTCATGACGGCATAGATTGTGAACACCATGAAAGGGAACTGAATAGTACTACCGGCCGATCCCTACAAACCGGGACATGAAGGAATAGTTAGATTTTTTCAACTTCTCATAACTTTTGGAGGAACACAAGTGTGCAAGATGTCTCCATTTCAGGTGTAAAGAGGTGACCGGGCATCATGCAGTGATGCACAAAACGGTAGCCTTGCTGGGCTTCTCATGAAAACTTCCTGAATGGCTCAAGAATGGGCAAAGCTTTTGGATAGGCAGGATTTCATAATATTATTTGCTCTCCACTTCTCAAAAAAAGGAATCATTATTTTGCATGAAACCCTAGCAACAATACTTGTAAATTAAACTCAACATTTAATAAACAAAAAAATTGTAACATGGAAAATGTAGGCACAAGTTCTGCAATCGAGTCCACCAACTAAACCAGATTTTGAACAGTCAGACGCGCACAATCTAAAACACAAAACTGACAAGGAGCACTGAGGCGCGTCTGACAGTTCAAAATCTGGTTAAGTTGGACTCGATCGCAGAGCTCGTGCTTACAATTTCCATGTTACAATTTTTTGTCCTTGACTCACCATCTGAGTTCTTAATTTAATAAACAGTAGGGAATAGATGAAACATCTATCATACGTTGAAACGGTACAGTCTAATACCAAGATGCACACGTGTTTACGAGAAAATATGTGGCCATTGTATTGAATAAAGGCAAAACATGCATTTCTTCAAACAGCAAAATCGGGAAAGACAGCACGACACGAAACCAATGAATGAAAGAAATCTATAACTAACCAAACACTCATCATCATCCCCAAACCTCTACTTCCACAAGCCATTACTAGATCTACAACATCAGCACGTGGCACAACTAAGCCAATTCATTCGGACCATGCTGGAACAAATAGCAAAAACTTACGTCCACCACGGGGTGAAAATCCACCACCACCACGACCGCCGCCGCCACGCGGGGAGAAACCCCCTGAAACAACATCATCCAATACTCTCAAAGTGCGTTCCAAGACAGTAGACTCAACATTTCTTCCTACCTCTGCCCATAACTCCCATGGCTGCCTTTCTTTGTGAGATAGAATTTTTCACAACCTTGGTGGAAAACTTCGCGAGGTGCCTTAGCAACGGGTCTCGAGGTGCGTCGCCATATTTGTTGCGCATGCGCATATCCTAGTTCTTTCGCGGAGCTTCGAAGCAGGAGGCAGGACTGCACTGGTCCGGGAGTACTCGTACGGATCGTACTCCGGCCCGCGGCGCCCCGGCCTGCGCTAGCGCTAGCTGCATGCTTCGCGACGCGTCGACAATATCGCGATCAAAAAAAAAAACGATATCGCGATCTGGTGTTGAGTAGATCTACGATAGTAAAAGTACAACTCATGCATGGTAGATTATTATTATTATTATTTGAATAGGGCAGTCCCACAGGCCTACAAAGTATGGGCCTTTTTACAGGCTAGATCTACAGTATGAAGATCTACGGCCGCGTAGCCTAGTCTGCCTAGGTCTGACTCTTGGTCTACGTAGCTGGATTGTGGAACACTGTCTTGGCTCTTGTGACACAAAACTGACAGGTACATGTACTAGTAGTAGTACCGTGGTACTTAGTACTACAGTACTAGTACTAGAACTACATTCTTGTTCTTGCTCTTTACTACTTATCTGAGTTCGTCTCGCTCGTTATCAGTATTTTCTCTTTGTTGGTGTTATCTCTTCAAAATTCATGCAGTCAGAATCATTAAAAAATCTCAACACGAAACAGCCTTCCATTTCCTCAAACTACTTCAACTTGTTCAAGTACTTGAGTCAAACTTTGACTCAAAGCACCGTACAGCCAGCAGGAGTACTTCCAGGTACAACCAGGCTTGGTGTCGGGGCTTGCGCACTTGTTGTGCTTGGTGCGCTTGAGCTCACTTTGGAGTTTGGACTACATGTAGACTCGATCGACTTCGCACTCGAACTCGCATCATTTGAAACTTTGTCGGCCATGTCACCATGGTGATACACACGATGATGAAGATGAAGACACCAAGGGAGTAGTATAATCACTACTTCCCAGAAGACTTTGTTGTTGATGACCAGGCAGATAGTGCATGTCTTGGATCATGGAAGTGGATCTATCCCTGCTTCGTATTACGGTATATACTCAAACAAGGACCAGACCACATGAACTGTTTCTTTTCTGTTTGTGGAATGTTTTAGAGGATTTCCTCGTTCTTGACGAACTGGATATTTTGGTGAAGGATGAAGCGCTGATTTGTCCGAAGAATGGATCACTTGTCTCTTGATGACAAGAAATTGTCCCTGGAGGACAAGCAGTTGCTGGAGTCCATCACGTTGTTCTCACGTCCTGGCGAGATCAAAACCGCAGAGGAGGCCCAGAGGACGACGTTACTTATCCAGGAACACATCACACGGTTTACGGAGGAATTGCAGCGCCTTGAACTGCCACGCAATGAGGTCGACTTCCGTATCAAGGAGGAGAAGATCCGCGTGGCCAAGGAGAGGCTTGAAAAGGCTAAAGTTGCACAGCGAGAAGTCACGATCCACTGGGGTGGTGAGAAAGCAGTAGCAGGATCGTCGAACCAGCTGGAGATGGAAGGCACCACGGATGTCATTATCGACACGACGCTCGATGCGTGGACCGTGTGTCGCCACGTGGCCTGCAAAAACAATCTGGACCCGGAACTGCCATGGTCTCTGATCGTGTTTGACAGCGAGAATCATATCATGAGAACAGTTGAGGATAATGAAATTATCTACGAGCTGATAGAATACTGGAAAGCACGTGGAATCACAACGCGCCGTCTTTACTTCAGACTCGAGGATAAAAAGTACCACCTGTTTGAAAGTCCGGCCTCCTACTTCAGCGAGCTGTCCGAGGGAAACTCGGGCATAAAGAAGCAGAGGCTACGGCGTCTTCTCATCCAGTTGTCGTTTCTCACCTCGTACTACAGAACCACACCTTCCACGTCGCCCACTATGGAAGCCGATGCTCACATTCGAGTAGGGTCGAAGAAATGGAAGAAGGTGAAGTGCTTCCTCAGAGCCGACGGCATCTACTACGAAAAGCCGAAGGAAAGGGAGCCAGTTTGTTACGTCAGCTTTGCGTTGTGCAAGGTATTTGAAACAACCGAGTTCGACAGTGCGTACAAGGCGCCAGGCTTGGCGGTGGTGGCCGTCGAAGACCCAGCGAGCACTGAGGACTACGTCAAGGCAGTGTGCCTGGAGAATCGCTTTCTGTATGTGTCTTGGTACAGCGCCATTCGCATGGCACGGCATTCTAACCAGCTACTGGTCAATTACAACATGCACTGTATGAAAACAGAGCAGCTTCTGTACATCAAGCGCGTGGCACCGGAATATCTCTCAAAGGCCCGCCGTCGGTCGACCACTGTTCTCGACCTCAACAGCAGAGGTGCCAGCATCAAGATCGACCTGCAGCGAGGCGCTGACTTCCATTTGGACTGGTCGCATCGTGAGCAGGACTGGTTCCACGGTAAGATCTCGCGAGACGAGCAGCAGAAGTGCTTTGAGCAGCTGGGCGGCAGCGACGGCCTCTTTCTGGTGCGCGAGAGCTCGTCCGCCGGTGACCAGTGTGTGCTCGTGATCTGCTACAAGGGAAACATCCTCAACTTCCTGATCTCGGAGTCCGACGACGGGTACATTGTCGGCGAAAGCGAGCCGCGGCCGACGCTGCAACAACTTTTGGACGAGCTGAAGAAGAAATGCTGGGGCTTGCCGTGCTGTCTCACCGAACATGTGCCCAGGGTGCTGGCGCGTGTGCTCCTGCGCGCTCTTGCCACGTATCAGGCTGCCTCTGATGCTGCTGGAGACGAAATCGACCTCAATGATGACTAGTGGGTATGCTTTGAAGGTATGTCCTGGACCAGCCTTGAACCTAGTGACTGTTTGTCACGTTTACTCTTTCACATAGTATTTATTTTATTTACCATCGGATGCCTCAACAGTGATATACACAACTCACACATACACGGAATCTTTATTGTACAGATCGGAAAAAAAGGGGGGGGGCTGTTCTGGTGCTGGGCATACAGTGCATTCATCATGCGTCCGGCAGGTCTGTCAATTGGGGAAAAAAAGAGAACAAAATACGACACAGTTTATTGATGTATTGCCATCAAGATTGCATAGCCCCAAGGGTTTGTGGACCCTTCTTGCAAAGTGGTCATTGGCTGCTACAGCCACGTATTGCTTGGAATAAAACCAAACTAACTAACTACCGTAAAGTACCGTTGATCCGCTCCCTGTCGATTTTCTACCTGTGAAGCGATTTCGGCGTATACACCGAAATACGATGTTGAACCGACGCTTGCACTGCTGTACATAATACGTGGCAATCCTGGATGAAATGTGCACAATCCAGCACATTTAGTCTGATCCTCAACGTTGTTGTACATCGTACTGCACTTGACAGCCTTGATCTAATCCCGCCCCCTGCCGAAAACCAGCTGGGAAGCGACATGGCGTGGGGGGGGGGGGGGGGCGCGGATCAACGGCACTTTACTTTAATATCAGGTCGTTGAATGTCAGTATCACATCAGTCAGTGTTGTCCTAATCGTTGCACGTTTTGACCGACCGATATCTTGCTTTATATATTTGTTACAGTAATGTACAAACTTGGATGGTGAGCCAATTTAATTATGGATAAAAAGGAGAAGGACAAAAATGGTGCAAGTTATGACTAATTGTCCACCAACGTAACCAGATCATATACAGTCGATGAGTGCGACCAAATGGCACAAGGTTTTGGAGGTAGGTGTCAGGTCGTGGAATGTCTCAGTACTCCATGTCAGTTTTGTGCCATTTTGTCGCATTCGCTAACAGTTTATGTATATGATTTGGTTACGTTGGTGGACAGATAGTCGTAACTCGTACCATTTTTGTCCTTCCTTTTATCCATTATATCAGTAATATCAAGAGTACATAACCCCCAGAGTGTGCAACTCCACAATGGGTGCTGTCCCGATAGAATTTCAAGTTGATGTCATTTTGATGATGCAATGCACACTGTACACGGATTATCTGACGAATCCGGAACCTGTGGTTGACCGAAGCCGATCGATCCTGTACAAATTATTGCAAAGAAAAACGTGTGATGCGTTGACACCCGTACACATGTTGTAAATCACTGGTGCAAGGAGCATTGCGTCATAAATAATGACGTCAACTTGAAATTCTGTCGAGACAGCAGGGTATGTAGGAGTTGCACACTCTGGGGGTTATGTACTCTTGGTAATATGTTTGTATTGTACTCTACCTCGTAGCGCCTTATCTGTGCAGAGTGCTCCATGCATATTGTGGCAGAGCGCTTTACAGAGAGATCCTAAGGACACAGTGCCCAGACAATCTGAATGGCAGATCACGATGCACGCAATCGAGGTACATTTTTGTACTCCCTGCTCCATAGTCATAAGTTTACAAGTTATCCATTTTGTCCAACACTAGCGATTACCGGGTATAAGCAGGATAGTGGTGAGTCAGAATTTGCAAGATTGACTGATGTGATACTGATATTCAACGACCTGATGCTTAGCTGCATCACCTCTGGAAGTGTTGGACAAAACGGATAACTAGTAAACTTATGGTCCTCTTTTTTTCTTTCTTTTTTAGTCCTTGGCTCTCCATCCGAGTTTAATCTGATCTGCTCCATAGTCTTTCATATGTTGTGTATTATATTTTGGCGAGTACATACCGCATCCTCAGCAGATGCAGCCAGTGGCCAAGCAGTTGATCCGACCATAGCCTGATCGACCAGAGTGGTTCCTGCCGCCCTCGTGATCTACATTGTATGTGGCTCTCTGCAGGTAGCGATGAAGAGCTGGTTTCATGGCTCGCTGGCTCTTTGCAATAGGGTGCCATTTCATAGCATGCCAAATGCCAAATTTCTTACCACCTGTGCATACATGTATGCAGTCCTTTGCATGGTGGGGAACAGTGAGTTGTATAGATAACGGAAGCAGCTCTATACACCTCCCGAACGGGCAGCAATCCCCATGGTTCCCTTGATGATTTGAATGCCCAGTCGTCGAGCACTGGTTTTGCCAGTCCATACAAAGCAGTGCAACTTGTCCAAACCAACCGTGCAAATGTGATCGTTCCCATATCCAGGGTGAGTTGATTGAAAGTGACACCCTTTGGAAAGGTGGTCGCCTTGACAGGTTACTGCAATATGATGTGTAGCTATTCGGGGGGGGGGGGCTGTCAAGCCTCTCTTTACGGGCAGAAACACGATACAGTCAACTTTGCGTATAACGACACTCGGCGCGGCGGGGATCAGAAAAGTGTCCTTATTCGCGACGTGTCCTTATTCGCGAAGTGTCCTTATTAATATACCCGAAGTCTCATTATAGGTATTATGGTTAGATGGGACTTTGCTCTGGGCATGGAAATTCTGTCGTAATATGCACAGTCGTTATTGATATTTATAACGAAGTTGACTGAATGTGCATGGATGAAAAGTAAGAGTAAGAGGCAACAGAGTTCTTAGAGCTATTCACACGACTTGACTTGCAAACATTTGCACGTGTGTGATCAAGATAACACTGAGTACAATGTACTGGCAAACCGTGATCCAGTTCACACGGTGCTGGGCAAACTTTGCAGCCGTCAATGTATCCATACTGGACCATAGTGACCCCTGAAAATGCCGGGAAATGTTAAATTTTGAATTTTCCTTTATTCAAGCACTGCATTTGCAGTACGCACTTTCAACAACCGACACTTTTCTGGGCGTGCGAAGATAATCGCGAGCAAAAGGGCCTCGGCCAAGATAAAAAACCAGTTGCACGCGTGAGTCCAAGTTTATCGTATCCGAGTTAATATCCTCGGAGACAGTACGATAAACGTGAGTTTGCACGTCGCGTGAATGGCCTATAAACGGGCAGCAGAATCCTATGACAAAACAAAAGATGACATTAAGCAGTGGTAAGAGCCTTCATAGGCGCCGAAGGCTCGTAGTAGGGGAGACTCCCCCCGAGTCCCGACTCCCCCGAAAGCAAAATTAATGGTGGAGTCCTCATCTATCTTGCAGATCGGAAGTGAAATGCTTGCGACTTGCTGGGTAGATTCTACATGTACAGGAGAAGGAAACGTACATGACCTGTACTCCGTGGTGTACGGTACTGAGTACCAAAAATGGTAAAAGAGTGGTGATCGATCATGCCAGTGCACTAGTGGCAGAGTGCATGCAGTGGAGGCTGAACGCACATTGCATCTGCTGTACACACAATGAGCTACCGTAGGCTAGGTGAAGCTTGCAGTTTCTGCATCCGACTGAAGCCAGTTGAAGTGCGTGTTCAGTTTGATCTTTGTGGACCTTTGTCTTTTGTGTGTTTGTGACGGGTTGTCGCTTCCAGTTGACGTTCATTGTGCCGGGGAGTCTCGAGCAACGCCCAGGCTCCCTGGACCTCTGTCACCATGGCTCTCCACAAAGTAATTATGGTCGGTGGAGGTGGTGTAGGCAAGTCAGCGTTGACATTGCAGTTTATGTACGATGAGTTCGTGTCGGATTACGAACCCACAAAGGCCGACAGCTACAGGAAACAAGTAGTGTTGGATGGAACAGAAAACAACATTGATATCTTGGATACTGCCGGACAGGAAGACTACGCCGCAATCCGTGATAATTACTTTCGCAGTGGAGAAGGGTTTCTCTGCGTCTTCTCCATTGTGGAGAGCGAGTCCTTTCAAGCCACATCCGACTTCAGGGACCAGATTTTGAGGGTGAAACAGGACGACCGCGTTCCGTTCCTGCTTGTGGGGAATAAGTGTGACTTGGAAGATAAGCGCCAGGTGTCCACGGCGGACGCGCAGGAGAGAGCGTCGCAGTGGGGTGTGCCCTACGTTGAGACGTCGGCTAAGACCAAGCAGAACGTGGACAAAGTCTTCTACGACCTCATGCGTGAAATTAGAAATCGCAAGGCAGCAGACGGCGGGAATGGGGCTGATCCGAAGAGCAAAAAGGGAAAGAAGAAGGGAGGCTGCATAATACTGTGAATGTAAGTCCTGTCATATATCTGCGACGCTTTGGTATTTCTTGGTTTTCGTTGTCACAAGCTGAGAATACGCCTTCTCAAAGATACTCTGATTTAGTTTCGGCGACTGAGCTGTTCGTGTCGGGTAGGGGTGTTTGCTATGATAATGCCATGGCGTCCTTTCTCATCCTAACGGATTAGATCACAAGTGAATGTGTGGTGCTAGCTGTTGGGTTTGAAAAAGCTCACCAGTGGTGGTCACAACTGATCCTGACCTGACTCTTGAGCTCGTACAAAGTTCAAAACATACAAATCACATGACTATATTGAGAAAAAGTAATGTTTTCGTATTTGACATGGATATTGCAGGATTTGGGAATCGTGGGCCGTGCCTAATGCAGGGAGGCGACACGGGGGCATCCGGGCCAACCACGATTGACTCGTAGCACTTTCTCCTGCTTTTTTCCGAAGATGTCACCGCAACAACCGAGGCTTGTGCTCCTGCAGAGCCTGCCCAGGGCCTACCATGTACACATTATTGTACAGTTTGTATGCAACTGGTGTGCACTGCCGGCCAAGTCTAGTTGCACGTTATTTGGCGCATCATCTATTACTGTTGTGCAAGGGTGATCCGTGTGTCGCCTCCCGGGTTTGTACGCCTCCTGCATTAGACGCAGGCCACAGGGGGTCATGCACTACCGTAAAATATTAATAAGTACCTGCCCGAAAGAAATACCCCCTTCATTCTTTTGGCTCTGTCTGTTGAAGTCAAGTCAAGCCCGATAAACATACTGCCCGAAATAAGTACCTGTACGATTCGCACATGCAGCACGTAGCATGTACATCTACATGAAAATAACTTCTCCACTACACACAAGTCGGGTCCGAAAGTTAGTTCGTGCCCGAAAGTTAGTACCCGCCCGAAAGTTAGTACGGGTGTGGTCACTAAATTCGAAAGTAAATACGTACTTATTTACGGACTTTATAGCAGCACTATCCATGTCAAGTATGAAAAATAGTACTTTCTCTTGAACTAGTGTTAATTATTTTTAGTTTCCTCGCTCATGTGGGGAGGGGGCTTGGGTCGGTACTGGCTGCCTGTTTTCCAAGTGGGTATAGAAGCACGCCGCAATCGCTGTGCCCATGTTGTGTGCAAAATCCAGGTTGAACGCAATTCCAAAGTCAAATTAAATTGAAATTAAATTGACTTGGCACTCGTCCAGCCATAGATGTGTGCGCAACAGGCCGCAGCAGCGGGAAGCAACGCTGGGGACCTACAGCAATGCATAGTACTAGTACTCCGGACTACAACAATATTCGGTGGGTAGGGCCTCGGCCTGGAAACCCGTCAGGACCGATCGGTGCCTTGTTTCAGACCCTGTCCAATTAACCAAATACGGTCGCGCATATGGATACTATCCTTCGCGATGTGCCCATTGCATGTGGCCAAATCCGTTTTGCTTCAGAAGTGAGCTACCTGCCTGTACATTTACAGCTGACAGTTTGAACATCGGAAGTCCCATCATCTCTGGACAGAGACGCATAGCCGGGTACTCAGACTCAGCGAATGTTCCGGGAAAGGAAACCCATCCGACTCGACTTCATGCACAACAGTTGGGACCCCACGCGCGCACATCGACTTTGTCAGAAACGCACATAGTTTTCGTACGGTTTCAACCAACCAAGTACGTGTACCGTTAAGTATAAACAATAACAAGTGTTTTAACTCCGAGTTTCAAGCACTAAGCGATTATCAAACACCAAACTCGGAGTTAAAACACTTTTTTCATCCTCTTATTATTGCTTGAACTATCTCTTCCTTTCGGTATTGAGCACTCTATTGGACAGCCTGGAACCTCTCTGTTCTACCGTGAAGTACCGTTGATTTTCTACCTTTGAAGCGACTTCAGCATGTACGGCAAACTACGGTGTTGACCGGATGCTTGCACTGCTCTATACAGTAGAGTCGCGCGCTGAAGAACTTGGAGCCCAAGAACGTCCAGCCTGAAATTCTAAGAACGCCCCAGCCTAAAGCTAAGAACGGCAGTATTGGTTTTCTGGCAGCTTGTGAGATACAAACGATCCAGTACGGATTGTTTAAGAACGTGCTAGAAGAACGCAGCCAGATTGCTGAAAAATAAGAACATCCTAGGCTAACCCTTGGAAACAACATTCTTGGGCGCGCACCTCTACTGTACATTGCATGCCAGTGCAGGTATCCCTGTGTATGAAAACGTGCACAATCAGGGGCCAGCATGGCAGGTCTAATCTTTCGTTTGACATAGTGGTCAACGGTGCTTTGCTGTATAAAGCCGCTTCCACTCTAGACATGGTTGTGTCTGTTTGACATGGGGGGAGGGGCTCCTCTATCTGTGCCTGTGTTTCAGACTTGTTTGGTGTTGGCACCTTGACCCAGTATCTCAGTGAGTCATTGAGATTTTGCTGTCTCTCTTTGTCTTGTGCATTTCTTCATTGTACTTGCAGCCTAGACGTGTCAAGAATTAGTGGTGAGAGCAGTGCGTGCATCTTCAGTCACTGATGGGTGCGGAGGAACGGGATTGGAACTGCCATGTGGGTGCTGCGTGCAGTGCCCAGCACAACTGTGCGAAGAACTTTTTTTTTAGTGTGCAACCGATTGCACAGTCATAATCATTGCGTATCTTTTGTAATGAGGTTTGCTACACCATTACTACTTCAAAATAGATTTGTCATTTCTACCCAAGTTCCAAGTCATACCGGTAGTTGTTTCTGTTCAGTTCCAGGCTAAGTGGTATGCATATTGTAGATCGTGTTAGCGTAATGAGTTGCATATGTCACAATCCATAGGTTAACGAGCTTACAGGCATATCCCCCCCCCCCCCCTTGCACAATCACACACATTGGACATTGAAGCCCTAACGAAATCCAATCCTGAGCTTTGCCGAAGGCGTGTTATTACGACTGTCACATAGTGGCTTGGTACGTCTGACGAGAGAGAGAGAGAGAGAGCGAGAGCGCCGGCTTGTGGCTGTGTTCGCTTATGCAAGCGATCACGTATGAACGGCTGACGTGTACATTTACACCGTAAAAGTTGTTACTTACCGTGCCATTCCTTGCCGCCAATCACGCTCGATAGGAAGCTGACAACGCAACCAGGGCATCTGGTTGTATTTGTTTGCAGACTCGAGAGAGTTGTGGTTGCTCATGACTCAGTCAGTGCTCAATACACCGAAGTGTAGAGCCTAGTGCGCACACTCATTATCAAATTTTTGATAGGGCAATCCCCACAGGCCTTCTAAGGGTACGATGAAAGTATGGGATCGGTGCAGTGAAGAGCATAAGCGGACTGCAGCAGGGAGAGCATTCCAGCGGTCGGAACCTATGAAAGAAACTGAAAAGAGCCCGAAACGAGTTTTAGCTTGTGGTAGAATGACAGCTAGGTGAAGATACCCGAGAGCGAGTGCAGGAATTGGTACGAGTAGAATTAGAATGAAGGCAAAAGCAATCAGCAAGGAGAGTAGCAGTTAAAGGATTCAGGACACGAAACACTAAGATAATGTTATAGAGTTTGAACTGCTAGCGCACAGACAAAGGGAGAATGTGATGGTGTGCATCAATAAGGGATAAATCAGAAAACGAGGCATACTGAACACTATGCATAGAGCTCTATCACTAAGGCGGACTAAGCATCATGAAGAAAGACTGACAGCGTGAATTTCGGATCACTGGCTCCACTCCTCTATCGCAGTATCGGGCTGTCCCCACAGAATAACGTGGACGAAATCCTAAAATTGTGCGCATGATTATACGGGCGAAAACAGGCCATTATGCAGCAAATATGCGGGATTATGCGGCAAATATGCCGTAATTATGCACAAATTCTCTGTCATTTGTACAACTTTCCATGAAAAACGCGGGTTTTATGCAAAATCCCCTGAAAACGCGGGTGACAGCCGACAACGCGGAAAATCGCGCGTCCGCGGAATCGCGGTATCCTGTGGGGACAGATCGGGTGTAGTGGTTCTACGTTTCCTACGGTCGTCTTCTGCCTCCTTCAGTTTCTTAGCCATTGCATGTTCACTCGCGCGGCATTCGGCTCCAAAGCGCTGGTGCACCTGGAGCTGCTCTCGAAGCTCAATGATACACTTTCTAGCGGTAGCTGTGGTACTCTCCACCTGGGCTAACAACTCCACATCCTTTATCTTGAGCCTCTGCTCTATGCCAGCCATCTTGTCTTTCCACTTCTGATCTAGTTCCTGGTGCCTGTGCTCAGCCGTCAGTAGCTGGCTTGTCAAGATCTTGTTGGACGCTTGGAGATCTTGTTCCCTGGTGTGCAGATCGTCAATCTTCTTGTTCGCTTTCTCCAGAAGGTCTTCAAAGCGGGCAACCTGTTTGCTGCTTGTAGTCTGATGGCGTCCCTGCTTTACTTCCATCTGTGTCACGGCCGCGTCACACTGCAGGTTTGCTTCTGGCATGGCTTCATCCCTGCTGCCAGGAGCAGTATCAGGCTGCGAGACCCAAATCGAGCTGGAAAGGGCCAGGGCGACCCCGGACTGCCACGAGTCCCCACGCGGCAGAGGTCGCAGACAAAGACGTTCTCCGTCATTGTTGTCGTCCCCGTTGTCCTCTACAGACGTGAGACGTTGCCTCGGCTCTGATAGAGTGTCCTCGGAAATGAGTGGCTCTGGTCGCCGCTTGGCCTTTTCCAAGTCCTTTTCCAGTGTTCGATGCTCATTCCGCAGGCGGTCCAATGCGCCATTCTTCTCTGAATTCTCTTGCTGTAGCCTAAATAGCCTGTCCAACAAACCAATGATCTGCTCCTGATGTTCCCAAAAGGCTTTACAAACCGCTTGGTCAACGGCGGCGCTCCGCTCTTCCTTTAGCCTCGAGCCCCATGCTTTCAGCTGGTCTTTTTCTTCAGTCAGCTCTTTCTCTCGCGTCAGTAGCTGCTTGATTTTCACCTCCTCTTCATTGAGACGCTTAATACATTGAAGCGCTTCATCTTTCGCCATTTTCTCTTGAGCAAGGCAGTCTTCCTGGCTTCGTCTAAGATCCAGGACAATAGCATTGAGGTGCTCGACTTCCCCTTCCGCCTGGCGTGAAGAATGCAGGCTCTTCTTGAAGTTCTCTGTGATCTCCGCGAGACTCTGCTCAGTATTAGCCAAGCGCGCCATCTCTCTGCGTTGGTCATCCCTTATCTTTTCGCTCATAATCTCGGTACTTGTCATTTTCTCCTTTAACTGCTGAATCATTTGGACTTTCTCTGCAGAAATGGCCGTTGCTGCTGCTAACTCTGTCTGGTAGCAGCTTAGCTGGTCAATCAGTTGCTCCATTCGGACAGGCTGATCGTCTTCCACGGCCTGGAGTTTAAGATACTCCTTTTTGACGAGCTTATCGGTCTCCATTCGCAATGAGGCTAGTTCTTCCTTGGTCTTGGCATGCTCCACTTCCCTGTGCTTCAGTTCCTGTGTTCGCGCTTTCAATTTTGCATCAAGTCGTCCCTGCGTCTCCCTCAGAGCTTCCACTTCACTTCTCAGGATCTCTATTTGGACCTCCCTACTAGGGCTAGGTCGCACTGGCGAAGGCGGGGGCCGTTGAGGCGTCGATGACGATGTCATACGTATACGTCGCACTTCTCCCGGCTGCGGCCGCCAGATGCGTGTTGTCTGTGCTGATATGATACTGCCTAGGGAATGTGCAACAGACCAGAGAACCTCGTCTACATAGTCATTGTCCATGGGTGCCTGCTGTCGTCCCGCACCAGCATGGCGCGGCAAACTGGAAGTAGCCCAGGAGGACTGGTGAAGCCTTGGCACTCTAGAGCTGTCCTGGAACGAACTTGAAGAACATAAACTGTTTTGCTGGGGCCTACTAGCCGCCACCAAGGAATCATCGCCACTCGTGACTTGGTTTGTGGACGACTGGCTAAATGAGCTGGGACCCTGGCTGAACGAGCCGCTGCTGCTCTGGTCCGCCATTTCCACCATGCTCCCAAACGGACGCTCTGCGCTGCTGGATCGCCTTGCTTTGGTCGTTGGAAGCGAAACAGAATGAAGCGCTAAGAGTCGTTGGAAGCGAAACAGAATGAAGCGCTAAGAACAGCAACACGTTGATGAAGACTCATGAGGTCGATAGTGGCCGGAAGGCTAGATCAGTAGATCTGGCTAGCGGTAGCTAGCGCATCGCATCGCAAAAATGCTTCTGTGAATCCCACCACGTCAGTCTTTTGAAGAAATACTACAGTAGTACCGTCAATCGGTCCGTCATGTACCGTACAGTGTAATATTACGGAGGATTAGCAAGACGAAATTCGCGTTCGCGTTCGCTCTCCAAGGAAAGTCGAACTCAGTGACGGAATTCGCGTTATGAGAAGGATTAGCAGACAGAATTCGCACTTGCATGACGTTGACACGACGTACATTGCGTACAGACACTACAGCGTGGTAAATTTATGACTGCCCTGACACGAATCCGCGATTCGTGTTCCGACTACTTTTCCGAACGAAAAATGCGAAAGTACGCAATCCAGTTCGCGAACTGAAAAATGTTTGCGAACGCGAACGCGAATTTCGTCTTGCTAATCCTCCGTACTAATAGTATCGTAGTATTACTAATAGTACCAAGAGCATAATTATACTCTTGATAGATAGTACCGCCGACTACCGGTACAAATTACAATGCTGACAAACGGACACTCTGCGCTGCTGGATCGCTTCTGACGTTCTGTGAATTCCATTTCAGTCTTTTGTCGTTTTGAAGAAATACTGGAACAGTCATGCTAATACGTAATAGTACCAAGATTATTATACTCTTGATAGTACCGGTAGTCGGTACAGTGCTCCCAAGCGGACGCTCTGCGCTGCTGGATCGCCGTGCTTTGGTCGTTGGAAGCGAAACAGAACGAATAGAAGCGCTGAGAACAGCAACGACGTGTTGATGATGACTCATGAGGTCGATAGTGGCCGGAAGGCTAGACCAGGAGATCTGGCTAGGGGCCGTAGGGCTATATACGGGCAGATAGTAGACTACATGTACTAGGATAATGCCGGCATCCGATTCCGAGCATCAGCTCAGACTCAGAGCATTTTGTGGAGCATTAGAAAGGGAAAAAACGAGCATTTTGTGAGATTTGAGCGCATTTGGACTTTCATAGAATGAAGTAACGTTGAAGACACCAGGTGCAGGCACTACTGCAGCTGCACTTATGGTTGATAAATACATGGTGGTAAAGACACACCTGGCAATATGGCGGTAAACACACGCCTGCCCACACACGCTCTCTAAGCTGCAAAATTCTCAGGTGGTGAGAAGGAGAGCTCTGTGCCGGGCACAGAGCTCTCCTTCTCACCACCACCACCATCAGTTTTACTACTCCCTGGTTCAAATGGTCCGCAGGGACCGGGGCTCTGCCAACCGCAGAAGGTTGTAGTAAGGTCACTGTTTCCGAACACAGTGTCCTCCACCTTGTTTCATGCTGTCAATCTAACAATTTAGATTCTACTACTACTAGTACCAAGAGTACATAACCCCCCCCCCCCCCCCAGAGTGTGCAACGCCGATCCAGCTCTGTGTAGGGTCTTAGTCGAGCGGAATCGGATCTTCTTAACCCTTTACCGTTTGTACGTACAAATTTCGACCGCTCGCGGTCGATGACTTCTATGCGCACAGCGCTGGACTGGTTCACCGCAGAGAGCTGGGATTTTCCCTACTGGTAGCCAAGATGTACGCGCAGAGGGTGCCGACAATTTTTTTGTGTGATGCAATATAAAAAATCGCGAAAATCGCGACTTGAAAAATGCGCTTGGGGAAAGTGCTTACCCTGCGACTTTTGGTATTGCCTGCAGATTATTTCGACTTTGCTTGAGCTGGCCTCACGACTGTATGCCCTGCTGTGCAAGCCATGGACGCGGAGCAAGCTCTTTCGCTTCTGGAGACCCTTCCTGACGACTCTGTTGCTGCCTCATCCAGCGAAGATGAGTTTGTGGAGCCAGACAATCCTG